CATTAATTTGTATAATATTTACATAGTAGGATGCTGATGCGGTTCAATAATACCAGCATCTCTCTCGCTATGCTCTTTTGAAATATAATAGTAATAACAGATTCTTAATTCAAATGTCAAATAATGTGATTAAGTACGGAGAGTTTCTGATGTATCCAGAAGATGGAGATATCCACAAATCATTATCGTTATCACTTGATGTATCCGTTCCCTCCACTGACATATAGCCTTTGTGCTCTCAGTGTTCGTGCCTTATCCTGTAAGTTTCACATTAAGATGTCTTAATTCTCAGCAAAGTCAAGAAAGGAATAATTCAAACTATAATTAGTTTCTGTGAATCAAAGGCTCATTTGTGTTTGGAAGTGATTTGCAATGAGCCTGTTCTTAATCTCTAATGCCACTATCAAAGCAGCACAGAGTTCTCGGTAACTTTGCTCCCAAAATATTGTGTACTCTCAGTATTAGGTGCATCTATGGAACACTTTCAACCGCTTGCCCAAATAATCTCTGCTCAATTCATTATCTTTGCTATTATTCTAATTATTGGTATTTTTTTCTTGCTGCTCTTTATTCTTTCTTCTTTTTTTTAACTGATTGAGAAGATTAATTGGTCTGTTGTGTCTGTAGTATTCAGCTGTTCTGGTAGTAGAGAAAGAAATACAGTACTGTCCTGGTTTGAAGTAAAACATGACCAGTCTTGTTCAGTAACTGCTTCTTAGCTGGGCCTCTTCTAACTACTGAAATTGGCAGCATATTTTGCAAACACTGTTTGCTCTCAGAGCTATAAGAGCTATGTTTATAGTTGATGCCCAGGCAAGGTATGCAGAGAGGCTCTTGCTTATACTTATTGCTATAACACCCAAGGCCAGCTAACTTTGTTATTTGCCCCATTGGAGGGTCGGAAGCGGAAAGGCATAGTGGGGTCCCACTGGCGGGGGGTGAGCAGACAGGACAGGTGACCCAAAACTGACCAACGAGGGCATTCCATCCCATCTGCCTCATGCTCGGTATAAAAGCTGAGGGATCAAAGGGTCAGCCCCCCTTTTTTCAATGGCTAACATCCAAGGAGGACTCTGTCTGCTCGTCTGCCTTTGATCCTGATCCTGAATCCAGATCCAGAATCCAGTTCCCGTCTGTCACTGAGTCCAGTCTGGGACTTCCCCAGTTCCAGCTGGTGTCGTGATTGTCATCCTGAGAGCTTGATACGGTTTTGTATATATTTCATTATTTTCTTTTTATTTTATTATTAATATTCCATTAAAGTAGTTTCGTTCCTTCTAAACTCGTAAGTCTCTTTTTCCCTCTTCTGCCTCTCTCTCTGAAGAGGGGTAGGGAGGAGTGTCTGTCACTCGCCCGATGGCCAGTTTGGCCTAAACCATAACAAGTACAAAAAGAGAGAAGGTTTTTATTGGTAATACCCACTACAGATACTGCTTGTAGATTTTCAGACTGCAAGAGATCACTGATTTCCCTGTGGCTCCTGCTGTCAAGAATTGTGTAGTTGCCCTGTGCAGTGCTTACTGCTGCACACCAATGTTCTTATGGTCCCTTACCATATTGGTTCTTAAGAATGCAACAACAAAGCACACTAAATGTTGCCCTTCCTATACAACGTACATATAGCATCCAACACTGTCCAAGGAGGTACACAGAGGAATTAGACCATCTTTATCCATCCTTAGGCAGAAATTCCTCATCCTGCTTGTCGAGTCTCAACCTGCTTTCCTTCCTTGTGGGCTTTTTTGGCATTGCCTGTGTTGAGTATTGGTTGGTAGAGGCACGTTAAAATTTATTTTTCAAGACCTAGGCATTTCATAAATGACAGAAATTAATTTGAGAGCCTTTGACATTGTAAAGCAAGTAATGACTGCCAGCTTATTTGGCTTTTCTCTCTTCCCTTGGTTCTCTTTACGGTGGCCAACCATAGCACGTGGACTGTCAGGTAAGCATAGGACTAAGCCTCTTCTCAAGACCAGATGCATCTGATGTCTTTGCTGCAGCCACTCAAGTCCATGCCAATACTGCAGCCCAAACTTGGGACTTCTCTGCAGGGGAGCCCTGAGCACATTTGCTACATGTCATGTGTCCACACTCCCCTTTGCCATCGGGGCTACGTGGGGCTGAGTGTGCTCCAGCCCTGATGCCAGGAGACAGCCTGAGCTTGGTGCTGCCTGAACACAGTGTAGCTGACCCACAAGCAAAGGTTCGAGTCAGGGCACACCGCGCTCCTCTCTAGCATGAAGGCTATAGAGGCTAGCAGAGCTTCCAGAAATTTTGTTCTCTTGGCCCCTCTGTGAAACTTTCCATGGAAAAGTTGGTGTGTGCCGAGTATGGGGGTGATGGTCTGTTGTTCATTTTTCATGCCTTTTAGGCTAGGTGGGAGCTTAGGCAAAATGAGTTATGCATATTAGTTACCTGCAGGTTAGATTCCTCCTCCCACCACTGGCAGCCATCTGCACTGGGTAGGAGCTGCAGCCCTGCCACCAGTTAATTACGTTGCTCATCATTATGTGGGGGGTTTATCCTTCTCTCTGCTTTTCCTTGTCTCTTAATGTCAGTGTCAACCTTGTCTCCTCTCTTCCCAGGTGTGCCAATGCTGTTTGTTATCCTCTGGGGAACTGTCAAGTACCTTTATGAAGATGAGGGGTTGGTTTAGTTCTGATTTTTCTCACTGTCTCATTTGTGCTGTATGTGTGCACCGACAGGTCATTGTTTGCTTTCTGTTCGGTGTGGTTTGCTTTGGCAATGCGCTGAAACCTCACATAATTGCTTCTGTTTTGTCTGAAGGTCTTGCATAACATTTCAGAAAGGAGCATGTGTTTCCTTCTGATCAGAATTTTCTGCATGTCTGAATGAATCTATCCTTTTGCAGGTCAAGGAAAGGTATGTTTTGTTTTCCTGTAGTTACAGTATCAAGAGTAGAAGTCATCATACCCAAGCAAGACCACTCCTGATACCCTGCCTTTGGCGATAGCCTTTTCAGTTATGCTTCAGAGGAAGGCAAAAACCTCCCACGGGATTCTGGCTGCGATTTGTAGCGGTTAGCTTATGCCTAGCAGCAGAGATGTGATTGCCTGTTCTTGTTTAAGCTTCCATTATTTAGATCATCTTAAAATAAAGGCATGTTCTCTGTCTGCTTACGTTAATCTTGCTGAAGTCAACTATACCACACACAAAACTGCTGCAAAACACAAAATGCTTTTTTGTCCGCTTTTACTGTAGTGGCTGTTCTGAAAAATTGCATATGCTTTATGTACCAAATCGCATTGTAGGTTGTTGGGGTTTTTTTAAAAAACAAAAGGGGGGAAAGTGGCTTGTTCTTCTTAGTGACAGTGACTGCCTGGAAATATCTGGGTAGCTTTCTTTGCGATGAAATTAATAACTTGATGCTATTTCCTTTTAATTCTTAATATACTGTTTATTGGGCCTTCCTCTTATTTAATTTCCAAATAACGCAGCCAGCGCTTTTGTAGAGCCTCTCCCTCCCTCCCCGCCCCGACACAATCCTTGCTGGAGAGATGCTGCAATGTGAAAATTCAGTGTAGTCAGAGCCACCCCCAGACTTTTTTTTCTGGGGTTTGTGAGTATTAAGAACTGGCTTTTTTTTTTTTTTAAGTGTCTTTCAAAGTACTGAACCAGTTCAATCATAGCTGCCTTTTCTGGCTTAAGCAATGTTAGGATTTTTTGACTTTCCTTTTTAAGGTTGACTTGATAATATTCTGTAGCAAGATTGTGGCCGTACTGATGTATTGTGAGTGTTGTTGAAATTATCAGAATAGGTGTAGAGAACATGCAGCCTCTGAACAGGCGACGTTCCATGGGCATATCTTCCCATTGATGTAGAAAATGTATTCAAAGTGCTCATGCTGAGCCTTCTACATTATGCTTAGAGCTGATTTATGTTTTCTATTAAGGAAAACTGTCACTCACTGCCTTCAGCAGACCTTAAAAGGGGCAATTTTGCACCTTATTGAATTTCCTAAATCTTGTATAAATATTTGTAAAATACAGCAATAAATAACCATGTGCAGCAGCTTCTCTGAAAGGCAAAATTTCTTGCCTTGGGCGGGCATTTGCTGGAGCTGCTAGGGATATCTTTCATGCTGTTTGCCATAGCGCTGTCACCACGGATGTGCAGCAGGCTGTAAATTTCATTTGTGACTTTAACTACTTCCCTGGCTATGAGGAATAACGGGAAGTAAACATGGTTGTGGCTGGGAATTTGAGGCAGTCCTGCGAACGTAGCCGTTTGAATGAAGGACTGAAGCCTGCAAGACTTACTTGCAGAGTGGCTTCTTCTTTCCTTACGTGTGCAAGTGTAAACTCCTTTAGAAAGCAGTTGCTGTTTTAAAAAGTGAGCTATTGAAAAAGAGTTTGGCTACACTATAAATGCAATTAAAGGCAAGCTGCGCTTCTTAGTTATTAGACTGTGCCTAAAGAGCTGATGCTTATACATCTTTGTTTCTATCTACAATTAATTATGGGAGCAGGACAGTCAGCCTACAATCTTTTTTAAAAAAATGAGCCATTCAGTTGTACCTCTTCAAGGTAAAAATTCAGTGTTTTCATTTTTTTAGAAAAAGAATACCAGATTGGTAAGCAAAGGCAGAAACTTCCCAGTAGTGTTTGTTTCACAGGACCAATTCTCCATTCATGGCTCTGAGGCTATTAGTTGCCAAGTGTTTTTGGAGTGATGCTGAGCAAACTGCAGGGATAGATCCCAAACACAGTAGATGTTGGTGTGTTTATCAGTGTGGCAATCCCAGAAAGCACAAACGGACAAGAAATCATGCAGATCTATCAATTTTATTTTCTGGACACTTTAATAGCTGTGACACTTTAATTGGGCTCTAATGGCAATTTTATTGCACATATTTGTATAAATTTAAAAGTAGCTAAAACTGTTCTGTGCCACAGGAAGCAAATTAATACACACCAAAATGAAGCAGAGTTGATGTAAAGAATCATCTTGGTCTCTGTCATTATCAGGAACTTTTAAAATTGCCTCTGTTTCCACTGCAGCTAGTCAGAAAATTAGAACTCCACTTCCAGCCGTGTCTATTATCCCACCGGTCTTGAGAGGTTTGAATAAAATTAATTTTAAAAGCTCACAGTCACGCGTACCGATTAAGTTCTTCTGTTACTCAGATTCCACCTCAGGTATGCTGACTGCATACAATATGTACACCTTTTTTCTCCAGTATCTAAAACGCAATTGAATCGTAGGTTGTAGAGCCGCTGGTTGCAATATTATGCTTGTTATATGCATTAAACTGAAATTGAAAGGAAAAATGAAATCCTGAGCCCTTCTTGGGCTTGTGGTACCTGCAGGGGAATACGGAATTGCCACAGCCAAGCTGCTTCACCTTCCTCTCTAGTACGTGAGCGCATGTGGGTGTGTTGTTGTAGCATGGATCCCCACCACGTGCTGCACAGTTTGCTAGGTTCTCTCAAGTTGACTGTCCCACTACAAGGTTGAGGAGGGTTTACTCTCCACCAACATCACCCTAACTGAAGTTTCATAGGCCCGTTGAGAAAACTCGAGGAAAACTGAGCATGTATATGTTTTGGCAGATGAGATTTGGAGACGAAGAGAAACTTGTTTTGTGAAGGAACCTATGTTTTCTGTAGTCATCTTTCATAGTTTATGTTTCACAGCCTGCGTAGCTCAGAAACCTGCTGGCTTTCCTGATGACTGTTGCTTTTGAGTAACGCTGAGCAATATAGCAGGAGGCTAACAAATTTATTTCATAGAAATATTAAGAATGCTGTCGCTGCAGCAACAAGCGAAGTGGCATGTGAACACTGCCCCAACACCTGGGCCATTGTGCACTCTCATGGGCCATCATACAGTCAGGGGTGGCTGGCTGCGGCCAAGGTGGGACCTAAAAGAACTAGATGTACAAACCTCCCAGTGTAAAGTTCTCTTTGAACCAGTGATCCTTAACTGTGGCTTTCAGGCATCGCTTTTCTTGCAATTTTTCTCCAATATTGCTCAAGGACATAGGAATTTAGAAAGCTAAAGTGAGACTTATGGGGAGAATGAAGTATTATATTGCCTGCGGCATGTTACTTGCTTGGCAGAGGGCACAGCTGGCCAACAAAAGTCGGGAACTATTGCTCCCATCTTTGATTTTACTTGCTTATAACTTTTAATACTCATTTTGGGCCTGAAACCTATATATATATGTACACTGAAGGAACTGGAGTTTGCTGCCTTAGTTGCCTTTTTCTCCTAGTTGAAATTAGTAGCTCCTTTTTGAAAATAAGGACAAAAAAATAGATGACTGGTCTAAATATTGATAAAAATTATGGTAGGTAATGTGATAAGGAACTGACAAACAGTTAAATAAGATGACCTGACATTGGAGACTGAAGAGTAATAAAAAATAACATGGAAAGAGGAGGATAGGAACCACACAGGAAAGGTCTGACTCAGCTTCCCCCCTTCTCCTTTCAGCCACATGACAAATTTGACCTTGGTTTTAATGGAGTGAATCTTCACAATTAACTGATGATAATTCATAGCAAATTGTGGAGGAGAGCTAGCCATTAGTGGGCAAGAAAGGCAGCCGAGTAGTATCCAGTTGGATTATGATAGCTGCAATAGCACAAAGCATTCAGTGTTTCTAAGAAGCAACTGCATCTGTTTCCATGTCAGCATGTGATGTGCTTTCCTGGTATCTAGTCCTCAATATTGTTTTCCATCTGCATTGCTGTCACCAAATGAAAAGCGGGAGATTTTAGTAACATACTGAAACAACTTCTTCTTCTCTCCCTCTTTTTGCCATCTGCCTAGTTGCTGGACCAGAAACTATAACATGAATTACTGGCTGATCATCAGACTGCCCATTCTCATCGCCATTGGGGTGAGTATGGGCCGTGTGCGGCAAGCTGGCAGGCTTCCATGAGAAAGGGACATGATACAGTGCAGACAGCAGATGTGCTCATGGCTGTTGTGTATGTCCAAAGGCTAGATAACCTTCGAGGGTATTGACATTTTCATTCAGAAATGTGATTTTGTGAAACCAAATTGGTTTCTGTCACTGGAATTCCCAACTAGCATTTTGTTTGTTTAATTTGGCCACATGCTGTTGCAGTGGCAGTACAAGAGAACAACACAGCATGCCGCAGCAATCCAGTTAACTCCCCGGCGTGAGGAAAGCTGCGACAGGTAATACAGGGAGGCAGAAGATAATTGTCCAGGTACAAATTACGTGGCATTGTGGAGAAATGCCATGTTCTGCAGCCACAATATTGTGGCAGTCTGAGACCTCCAGATGAGGCAAATGGGACAGCCCACACCTTTTGCTGTGTCTCACTCCCCAGAGATGTAGGGAAGCTCCCCTATTTGTTTAGTGAGCTGCCTGCGTTTGTGCATTCACAGGGGGTGTATTCAGAGCACAATTCCTTAGCAAGGAGTTGAATTCTGTGGCAAATTCTGCACCTGCAGAGTAGCAGGATGCACAGGGACCTACATGTGCATCCATAAACCAGCTTGTTTAAACACTTATGCACATGTGTTCTTTGATGATGATATAAATCCATCTTTCATTTTTTCCAGGTAAATTTCCTGATCTTTATCAGAGTTATATGCATCATCATCTCCAAACTACAGGCTAATTTGATGTGCAAAACTGACATAAAATGCAGGTATGTCATTTAGTGGTCTGACGCTTTCTGCGCCTCTCAAAATGGAAGTAGACAAGGAGGTATGTGAAAAGGAGTGGATTGACAAAGGTGATTAAAGATCACAGGCCTTGAGTAATGCACAGGTGTGGTGTCACACATTGGTATGACTGCTTGGACAATCAGTCCCCGGAGAAGCCTTCTGGTGAAGCCAGGGCAGGTGTTATATCCGTGTTATAGATAAACAGAAGGCTTGATCTCTGAGTTCATCTCTTTACAGCCTTCATAATAGTGGATGAATATTAATTAAGCAGCTTTTTTATAAATACTTGCAGCATAGGCAAGTACTTCGCATAATTTGAAAAAATCATGAGTGATGGAAATAAAGCTTTTAACTTCAATGAAGATCAAGATGGGGGGTCATTTTGAGTATTGGTCCTTGTTCTTCTTTCCAGTTGTTACTGGGACAAACTCTCAATCTTGAATGCATATGATGTTTCAAGAGAGATGTCAGGTTTACCACAGTAGTGTTCAATTTTTATTTTGCAGGCTTCACCCTGTGTCCGTGTGTGTATTCTTTCTGTTACTTAATCATCTTGCTAAGATTCACAGTCACATCTTTCATTTCTGCATCTTGGAGAATATTTCTGTATTGCAGTCTGAAAAATAATGTAGAAATAACAAGTTAGCAGTAGGGTGAATTAAACAGTGGGGAGCCTGCATGCTGTGGTAGCCAGGCTGCTACTGATGGTTGACTTTGCTAGTTTGAAGTTGAGTATTTCACTGTTGCAGCCTTCTAAGCTAGACACAGCATGTGTTTTGGTGTGTTCTCATCAGAGTATAGAGTTGCCTTGTATGTTACCTACCTTCTTTACCTCATGTGAAATTTTGGAAATCCTAATGTGTGTTTAGAGCTCAAAACAGAGAAAAGGACTCCTTTTAGTGAGGTGTAGGCTTTGCTTTCATGCCTACTGTTGTTTTGAATATGCGTGACCTTTATTTGCCAGGGTAAGGTTTGCTGGGGTGGAAAGAGAAGGATTCTCCAGCTCCGATAGCTTGAAGCCATTTAAAAATCTGACTGCAAATTTACCCTGTCAAAGGAGAAAGCCCTTGCCCTTGTGACTTCTGCAAGCAGCAGCAAGGTTTGATGCAGCTGAGCCATTTCTGAGGTGCATGTTCGTTCATTTCTTTATGTTTCATGTTCAAGAATCTGCTGTGTAAAGAGAAAGGCTTCATCGGGAAAGGATTTACCCAGCAGAGCCTTTTTCACTGAAACACTATAGTCTTGGACATCCTTACAGAGGTTGGTTTTTATAGCCAGAAGCCTTGGGTGGGAAGTCTTTTACCCAAAAGAGTTCAGTTCATTGGTGTGCATCTGATAACAAGACTGGTAGCCAGAGATTCCTGAATCAGAATTTCCCCCCACTTTTTTTCTGCTCAAAAAGACTGGAAAAGATTTTGAGTAGAGGGAAGACAGAACTGCCATGTTGGAAAGTGTTCTTCTAAACAAGGACCGGTCTAGGTGCCCTAGAAAGTCAGTAGTTTAGATAGTTCGTGTATGGAAAAGAGAAGAGTGTTTTGCCCTCAGGCCAGTCTTTCCTCTGCCTCTCTCCTGTTGCCCATTCAGTTGACAAAAAGAGAGCTCACTGTTCAGTATGGCAGCAAATCCTTTCTCTGTGGAAGGGCTGGAGTTGTGAAGAAACTTCTCCCCTTTCTCAGGGAAAGGATTTTCTTTAGGGAGGTCTTAATTATCCAGGAAGCCTTTTCATAGGATTTTGCGCGGCTTTCTGTTTAATGCAGAGCTCTGCAACTATCCCATCTAGAACAATTAGCGTTCATTAAATAAACTAGAGGTTTGCTCTACACCTACACAACTCCCTTTTTTTTTAGCCAGGCAGTGTGTCCAGAGCCAATTCAGCATCAGCCTCCTGCTTCTACCTCTATCTCAGGCAAGTGGTGGTGGAGCTATCTCAGGCAAGTGGTGGTGGAGCAGAGCCTCCATCACAAGAGTTGCTGGTAAGCTGCTCATTTAAACAAGCCTCCTACCCCACAGTGCAACGACGCATCTAGGTCCACTAGGCATATATATTTCTGCTTGCCTGTATGTGTAAACTGTTCAATTTCAATAGTTGCTTTGATTTGCCATCCCTCAGTCCTTGTGTACCAAGGACGGTGGATGAGGAGCCTTGCACTTGGTATGTAATAACCCCATGCAGCAGTACAGGATGGGCACTGACCAGGTAGAAAGCAACTTGACAGAAGTCCCAGAGATGCTGCAGGACAACAGGTTGAACATGATTCAGCAGTGTGCCCTTCTGATGGCGTAGGCTGACCGCATACTGGGCTGCACTAGCAAAGGCGCAGCTAGAAGGTCAAGGAAAGTGACTGATCCCCTCCATTCAGCACTTGTGACACTGCTTCTGGTGTCCAGGTTGAGGGTCTCCAGTACAGGAAAGACATTGTGTCCTGCCCCTCCAGCCCCATGGGACATGCATCAGTTTTGCACCAAGCTAGTTCAGGGGTTGGATCAGGTGACATAGAAGGAGGTGCTGAAAACTGGGTTTATTCAGTTTGGAGAACAGAAGACTAAGCAATGATTTAATTACAGTCTTCAGCTACCTAATGGTGGTTATACAGAAGATGGAGCTGGAGTCTTTTCAGAGGTGCACAATGAAAGGACAAGGGGTAGAGGTCACAAGTTGTAGCAAGAGAAATTTCAATTGCATGTCAGAGGTAAAAAAAAAAAAAAAATCACAGTGAGAGTGGTCTGACGCTGGAAGAGAGGCCCAGAGGGGCTGTGGAGGACCTTGGAGATATTCAAAACTTGGCTGGACACAGCCCTGAGTATCCTGCTGTGACCTGGACTTGGACCAGAGATTTCCAGAGGTCCCTTCCAACCTGAATGATTACATGATTCAGAATAGCAGCCAACAGCCCTAGGGCACACAAGATCTATGAAGTACTGACAGCCCTGCTAGTTGAGTGATTTTGTATCTACTGAATTGTCTCAAGACAGGTTTTTGTAAGATGTTTGGTAGGTTCTGTGGCCCAGGGTAGCCCTATGAACTCCCATGCGAGACTCGGGCATCTTTCATTATCCTGTTGGGTGGCTAGCATGTGTGTCTATCAAAAGAGAGTTAAGGACCATTTTTGTGAATGTTTTCCTGTGGTTGTATCCCTGAGCATTGCTCTCTCACTGGTGAAAAATGTTTTATTTCAGGCTGATTTGTCTTTTTTCCTTTGCTAGCTGTGTCTTTAAATTTGCTGTTTAAACCATGGAGTCATCACTCACTTTAAGACAGTTTAACTGCTTTGACAAAGTGTTCTGTAGTTACGGTTAGTTACAATGTTTTACAGACTTAACACACCACAGAGGTGGGAAGGAATAGCAAGTACTTCTCCCTTTGCCAAGATATTTTTAAAAGATTCCCGTAATTGATAGATTATTTTTTCAGGCCATCAACAAGGTAGGTTTTCCTTATCTTTCCCACTTATAGATGGGGAAACAGATACACAAGAAGACATCTCGCGTTCAAGAAAGCACATGACCCGCTCCTGGGTTTGGAAGAAGATTTTCCAGGTGAAATGCAGCCAGCTGCTAAATACTTTACTCACAGCAGGAAGCGGTCTGCAGTGCAGTGGCCGGGGCAGTTAAAACTTGTTGGAACCTACTAATGTTATTTTGAGGATTTTTATTTTACTTTTTTTTTCTGCAGCCTCTGGAGGAGGACCCTGCAACATAAAGTGGTGGAGTGACTTACCAAAGTTGAGAGTGTGTCAGAAGCAGAATGCAGAAACAGTGACTCCCAGTGACCATTGGGATCAGCAATGATCTACTCAGTGGCATTGGGTTTTTTCTTTCTTTGTGATCTTAGGCTGGCCAAGTCTACGTTGACTCTGATCCCGCTGCTGGGGACCCATGAGGTCATCTTTGCCTTTATTACTGATGAGCATGCCAGAGGGATGCTGCGCTTTGTGAAGCTTTTTACTGAACTCTCCTTTGCTTCTTTCCAGGTAGCGCTCGCACTGTGCGCATATGGATAAGATTTTTTTTTTTTAACTGCTGTTTGGGGACCTGCTTTCTCTCTCATTCATTGCATGTTCCCTGTTCTTTATATTTCTCAATTTAGCACTGAATATTACAGGATTATGGCAGTGGAAGGGAAAGTACGAGGACTAAATTTTAATAGCCAAGTTAGATGTTAGTGTCACATACTCTTATTTTCAGTGTCTTAAATTTACTGCAATAAACTGGTATTCCTATCCACATATTAATATCTACTTCCTATGGGACACCTCAAGGCAATAATGAAATTGCCTGTGATTTCCTGTCATTATATAACGGCATTGCCAAAAGCAAATGTTGTGCTTTCTCTAGTGTTTTTGATACTCCTTGGAAAATCTGTGCTGTGAGAGGTAGCTGTCTACAGCTGTAACTGCATGTGAGGAGAATGTAGGTTTACTGTGATTTTTATTTAGCTGTTGCCTTAGGTAAGGCCATTTCAAAAGAGTCTCCTTGTTTAAGGGAATCATTATTCTTCTAGTTTCCCTGCTCACCCACTCATTCCCTGTTTATCAAGCACAGAGGTCTATTTAAGATCACTGGGAATTGTTTATTAGGAAAAAATAACACATTGAAGAAAACAGTAATTCCTTTTCCCTAAGATCCTCTGCTTGGAGACATAGTTTGGTCAAACCTCTCCTCTGCTATCAGAGCTGTTGGGAACCACAGATGGTCTCCACCTTGGTTTTCTCTCCCCATGGGACGTGCCAGTGTGGAGCCTCTACCCCTGTGCAAGTTTGTTTGGCGAAGCAGGGGAACTGCGCTGCTCTGCTCACTGCTCTTCTGCTCTTTGTTGATTTCAGGGGCTGATGGTTGCAATTCTCTACTGTTTCATCAATAATGAGGTAAGACAGACACTAGTGCTCCAATTTGCCTTATCAACGTCCACTATAGGGAAAGGAAATGGAAAATCGTCTTGAACTGCTAAGTTGTCCTTGTTCAGGATTTTTACTTTTGTTACAGACTCTCCTCTGTACAGCTACACAGAATAACTCCTCAGACAAATGTTGTTGGAGGGAATTCAGGCAGTATAATTTAGGGCCACTCTTTGTAGACATGAAATCTTGCAAGTTGTCTTGCTCAAAATTGTATAGTTTGCACTGCTGGAGCTTTTCTTTTGTTAAGAATTATAGCTGCTCTTCTTAATCTGTCTCATAGTGTTTCTTACTTGCTTGTTTTGGTGGATGTGGGAGTAGAGCTCATTTTATTCTGAGAACTCAGCTCAGCTGGCTGGTGAGGATGGAGATTCCTCTTGGCTAATGCCAGTACAGTTTGGTTTCATTTGGTTTTCCTGTGGCCCAGAACCTCATTGTGCTCTCATTCAAACTGAACTTAATGGAATGGTGAGGTCTCCCACAGGCCCAGAAGAAATGTAGTCAGGGCTTTGAGTTAACTGATTGCAAGTAGCATCTTCTATGGCTTCTGCTGAATCCCAGCCCTGTTGGGGGGAAGAGTATTGTTCTGTTTCTGTGTTGCAGGAATCTCTGACATTACCTTCCAAGTGGTTACTATTATTCATTCAGCAAGGGAAGCAAACACTATTAATTTGGCATCACATTATTAAGCTTAATGCACACCAATGTGTTTTACACTCGTGCTAAATCTACTTTTAAACATGACATAGTAATTCGGGATCACCTATTGAGAGATAGGCCTCATCAAGGAATTGGAATCAGTGGAAAAATGTTCTACTTGTGTCATTATAGCCAGGCTGGAGTCAACAGAAAAGCAGCGGGCATCCCGACTTAAGCCCTGCAGGAGACTGTTCGCTTTTGTAGCTTGTGGGTAAGATTTTGTTTAAGTAAATGTGTTAATTGTACTGCTTACAAAAGTCAGAGGTGGGTAGCAGCAGGCTTTGCTCAAGCATGAATTAGAGAATATTTGTTTCAAATCCCTTGCACAGCTTTACCGGTCTGAAATGCAGTACTGTCTGCATGCACACATCATGTGGTTCTTCTGATTCGCTTTGGCCTTTGCTCATACATACCCTTTGCAGCTCCAGACGGGTATCTCATGAGTAATGCCCAATAATTTCCTCCATGTGATAGAAGGGCAAAGTTACACCATAGCCCAAACTTTATTACAAACCCTGAAACTGGTAGGCTTCTTTCATTTGAGGGAACTTACTGTGAAGTAGCCTATCTACATTTGTAAGAAGTCCTCCAAATCTCTTGTTGCTATAGTTCTCTTGCCTTTGTAATGTAATTCCTAAAATCTAACCACAATGAGCTCAGCTTCACAGAAAGCTGATAGACAATATAGAATGAATTATTTTGCTCGTTCCAACTCCTGTTAAAAGAAGGGAGAAAGATTTTGTCAAGCCCAGTCATCAGCATCCATGAAATAAATTCACGTAAAGCATTTGATTAGGTCAAGTCTTTTCTATTTCTTTCCTAAATGATATGTGAAATTCTTGGTTTTCAAACTGTTTTTCTTTTGACAGACTATATGTGCCTGAAGCCTATCCTTGTTTGCTATATGGTCTATATTTTTATTTTTGTCTGTGACACTCACTAACTCCTTTTTCCTCAACCATACAGCATGAAAAGGATTTTTGCAAGTCCTGGTGCCAGATCAAGAGTAGAAATTAAGCTAGAAGTGATATTACTGTCCATTTGTAGTATCTACTTATGGAAGAACATTAAAATATGTTCAGTCATATTTCATCTGAAAGATTCTGGATTTTTCTCTGATAATGCTCTGAGGCGAGTGGCAGGGTCTCATCAGATTGCCTGTTATCACCAATGTTCTCTGAAAAATAAACTGGGCTTAATATGATGTTTTTCTGTAGTTAGTGTTGGTTTCTACAAGAAATATTCTAACCAGAGATGTTGCTGCTTTCCACCAGAATTACTTTAAGCTGAATGAGGTTTCATTCTCTGTAGTCTTGCTTCTCCTTTTTGCCTCCTTCCTATCACAATAGAAGTACACTTCACTGTCTTCTACCTTAAAAGAATCTCTCCTGACTCCAGGACTCCTGATTATTTTTAATTGCTGCCCAATCTTCCTTTTTTCTTTCTTTTCATTCTCTATACAGACTATCCATTGAACTCCTCCACCAGCTCCATTCAATCCAATTTCAGACCTGCTTTCCTTTCACTATGATTTGTTGAGATGTTCTTTTTCCAAAGTTAAACTTTTTTGTAATCAGACTCCAAATTCACTAGCACACTCTCAACATCCTTGCCCATTAGCTGCATTAAGTTCAGTCAGCTGCTCTCTGTGAAAAGTCTTCTCCACCTTTAACCTCCATGACCATCTTTTTAAGTTCTCATACTTCTTCCTTTTCTCTTTCAAAATATTCGACATAAAAAATTTCCTTCTTCCCCTTTCTCATGGGAGCTTTGTTCTTGGTTCCCTTTTCCCTGTATAGCTTATTTCTGGGGAATCTTATCCACACATGGAAGTTACTAGGCTAATTATTTTGCTGAAAGATCTGTAGATCTACTTTGGTGCTCAAGAACTGCCTCTTTACAAAATAAATCTTAACCTATTCCCTCGGTCATATATTCACAGCGGTCTAGGCAAAAACTCAATTCAACACAGACAGCAAAACTGCTCCTTACCCTTTTCCTAACCTCTGGAGAGAAAACTAATATTCTGTCATCCAGATCCATCCCTAAGTCATCGTCTCTGATACAGTCTTTTGTTCAGGTCTTTCCATTCGCTTCATCTCAATGTTGCAGGCTACTTGTATCATAGCTCTAGGATACAGCATGTCATGTCCAGCCAGATTGAAGGCTCATTTCCTCCTTTTGACTGATTCTAAGATACCCATTTCTATTGCTCATCAGTAAGTATGTTCATGCCTTCTTCCAGGATCTGCTTGTAAATGTCTACAACTGCTTTTTCCCAGTGCTGCCTATTAAACCAGCTGTTTTCCATGCCCACAGAAGGTACCAAGTACTGGGGTGGTAATACGGTCAGTTCTTACCCTGCAGACAGTGTGGTCCCTGCTTCCTTTTCTGTTTTTATCAGGATGTTCTGCTTCATTCTTCTATGCCAAGCTATCCCAGACACACTGTCTTTTTCTGGTGTCTCTGTGCAGCTTTTGACACAACCCACAGTTATCACGGTAAAATGCAGGCTTCTACCTCAGCATCTTTTCTTCTGTCCCATTTGGTTGTGATACTGGAGGGACAGATTCCATTGTCAGAAATGCAGAGATGCAGTTGGTTCCCACCAGGACAGTATTCAGTGCAAGGGCTGTAGCCCAGAGCTGACAAGCGCTGCTAGAGGTAACCACCAAGGGAAGACAATTGGTTCTGTAAGGCTTTGCTCCTTTTTTAGAACTGCCTCCCAGATTCAGTATTGCACAATGAACAAGCAGAGAAGACAGACGTACAGCACTTGGTTCTTTAGGAAGTCTGCCTCAGAGATGAAGGTTTCAGCAGTGTGGGTATGATGACAGGCCTGCGCAGGAACTGCCATCAACCTATTTAGTCTCTTGGTGGTCAGTACCAGACCCTAAAAGGGAAGAAAAAGAACCTTCAGAGAAGGCTCACTTGAGTGACTCACCTGTACTGAAGTTACTTCCAGGCTGAAGTACACACCATAATGAATTGATTGCTGTAGTTGCGCTCCTGCCTTTTTCTAAATAGGGTGAAAAAGGTTCAATTTTATGTCCTCTGCCTTATGTGTTAAAAGCTAATGGAGGTTCTTACTTCAGTCAAGTGGTAAGAACTTTGCCCATGGAACAGGGAGATCTAAATTGTGTTCTTGCTTGTGCAGCAATTACAAGACTCTGGATAAATTTCCAAATGAGTACAGAGGGTACACAGTTTAATCCAGAACCTGTGACTGGATGAGCATATTTTGTAACTTTAAAAAAAGCTAGTATCTGGAACGAGAGATTTATAATTGTTATCTAAAAAGAGG